GTTTCTATTTATTATCCGTTTTTGGATACTTTTAAGGTTATAATAGGTAGTAATTTTACGTCTTGTTCTATTCGGAATTTAGTAAGCATCCATTTTTTCATATCTTGGTTTTCAGATATGTCTTTACGGATTGTTTCGAGGAGAATTCCTGCGTTATTATAACCTCTTCCTTTGCATACTCCCCAAAACATATCACTTGGAGTCTCATTTTCGTATGAATATATTAATTATCTATCTGATATATATTTTTTTTTTTTTTTTATTTTTATTTTATACTTTTCTTCTGTTAATCTTAAACGCTCACGCAATTCTTTAGAACGTCTAAATTTATCACGCAATAATATTTCCATTATTTTTAAACGCTTTTCTCCCCAGTCTTAAGGATCTTCGATTTCTTAAGCAATTTCCCATAATTCTTCAGGTGAATCTATTTATGATATTTATAATCGGATTTATTAGTTAGTTGATCGGGAAGCCTAAAAAGCGGCACTTACTGAAGGATATAAAATATTTTCGTATAAAACCCATGATGGGTATTCGTTACTTAAAAAACTAAAATAGTCTTCGAATTTATCTATTCGGTCTTTTTTTAGTAAGTAATGTGGCATCATTTATTACATTTTTTGTTTTAATTAAATATTTTTATATTTATGTATTATTTACTATATTTTTTTCTTTTTATTTGTTTTATTAATATTTTTATGATTTTTTTCCTAGACAACTTTTTTTTTTTTAAATTGTTTATTTTTTATTTATGCTTTTTATTTTATATAAAAATAATTTAATATAATAAAAAAAAAAATTATGTTTTTAAAAATAAAAATGTTTCTCCTTAATTATTAAAAAATTTTAATATAATATATTTATTAAATATTTATAGACGTAGAAATAAATTATTATTTTTATTATAATATTAAAAATTATTTTATTTAATTATTAAAATTATAAAATTTTTTTCTAAAAACAAATAGTAAATGATCATTAAAAATATAAATTCAATACTTCTATAATTAAGTTTTAGATGTTTTGAATATAATTTTCATATTTTTTTAATTTTTTTTTTCATAGTTTAAGCTTAAGTTTAGTTTTCTTAAAAATTTAAAGAATTTTTATTTATTTTTATTATTTAAAACTCTTATTTTTAATTTTAATTTTTTAAATAATTTTAAATAATAATATAAGTATTCTAGAAATTATTATTATATATAGATCATATAGATTTAAATAAATAAAAAAATATGTATATTTATTGTATATATATTTAAATATAAAACAAAGAACAATAAAGTTAAAAATAAATATATTTTCTATATTAATAAAAAATATAATTTACTTTATACTCTTTATATTTATATAGTATAAAAAAAAAGCATTTATATTAATAAAAATAATATTGCTAATTATATATAAATAAATAATTAAAAAAATTAAAAAAAAAAAAAAAAATGGCATTAAAAAGAATTTAAAAAGTAATAATTTAAAAATAATCAAAACCATATTTTATTATTTTTCTTATAAAAATATATAAAGGAATTATAAGATTTAAGCAGAGAACCACCAAGTAATTGTTCTGCAGGCCCAGTAGAAGGTTAGAAAGATGCATTCTAATGGCAAGCAACAATAATGGGACCTGTAAAATATTAAATTATATAAACAAAATAAATAATTTTTTATTAATTATTTTACTTTAGGAAGATTCACCTTATTCTGGAGGTGTATTCTTTTTGAATATACATTTCCCAACTGATTATCCATTTAAACCACCAAAAGTTACTTTTACAACAAGAATATATCATCCTAATATAAGTAAATAATTATTATTTTTGTAATAATAATAATATTAAATCAATAATATAGACTAAAATGGATCTATTTGTTTAGATATTCTTAAAGATTAGTGGTCTCCTGCTCTTACTATATCTAAAGGTATTTTATTTTTTTAAAAATAATAAAAGTGAATATTTTATTAATTTTAGTTTTACTTTCAATTAGTTCTCTATTAAATGATCCTAACCCTGATGATCCTTTAGTTCCTGAAATCGCATAATTGTATAAAACTGATAAATAAAGATATGAAGCAAATGCAAGAGAGTGGACAAGAAAATATGCAATGTGATTTTTTTATTTATTTTTTGGAAGATGAATGAAAATATTATATATGATAACTTTGTTTTATTTGCTTTTTTAAAGTAGTTAAATCTATATTTAAAAAATATAATAAGAATATTTCTTTCTTTCTTTCTTTCTTTTTTTTTTTTTAATAAAATTTTCCATTTTTTTTTTTCCCTTAATTGTTATATATTTTAGTTTTATTCTTTTTTTTTTATATTAATATTTTATTTTACTTAATAATAATTAAAATGTAAAAATTTTGTTGAACACACTAAAATTTTATAGAATTTATTAGGTTATATTAGATTAATTTAAATGTTAAATATTAAAAAATAATATTTAAATATATATATTGATAAAATAATTAATTTTTCAAGGATATTAATAAAAAATATTAATATGAATATATTATTTAAATTTTATTTTAAGAAATTATTTTATAAATAATAATATTAAATTTTTTTATTAGTTTTTATTTATTTTATAATAAATTCTAAAATTGAAAAAAAATAAAAAATTATTTTTATTAAAAAAAAATAAAATAAAAAATAGTTTCATTGTCAAGTTTTATAATATTATAAATATTGTTGTTTCTAGCAATATTTACTAAAAAAATCTAAATTTATCATATGAATATTTTTTAATATATTTACCATATTAATACTTACTTTAAATTAAAAAAATGCTAATATAATATAAAATAAAATAATTTTTTAAAATAAATAAAAAATACTAACATATAACTAAAATTAATGAAAATTTCACATTCTAAAACCGCCGAACTTAGTATTTTCTTCTTTTCTATAAGCTAAAGATGTTAATAAACTTAACCCTAAAATTTCTCTACTTTTCTAAGGCAAAATAACTCCATCATCCCACAATCTAGCACTAGAATGATAAATACTAGCTTATTTATTATATTTATGTACTAATTCCTACTTCATTTTTTCCAAATTATGATTGTCTACCTTAACTTATTTAAGTTTAGCTTTTTCAATATCTATCATAACACCAGCTGCCTGTATATATAAATACATATATATATATATATATATATATATATATATATATTTATATATAATATATTTTATATATATATATTTAAAATATATTTATATATACTTACTTATTCACCTCCCATAACCGATATTTTTGAAGCTGGCCAACTAAATAAGAAATTCGGATTAAAAGCTCTACCACACATTCCATAATTTCCAGCGCCATAAGAAGATCCGAAAATCAAAGTAAGTTTGGGTACTTTTGTTGTGGAAACTGCATTTACCATTTTGGCTCCATGTTTTGCTATACCTTCACTTTCATATTTACTACCTACCATAAATCCTGTAATATTTTATAAAAAAATCAATGGAATATTCCTTTGACTGCATAAATCAATAAAATGTGCTCCTTTAAGTGCACTTTCTGAAAAAAGAACACCATTATTAGCTATAACACCCACTTCTTGTCCATATAATTTGCCAAATCCAGTCACTAGAGTATTTCCGTATTCTTTCTTAAATTCCAAAAATCTTGATCCGTCTAAAATCCTGGCAATTACATTTCTTGAATCTACACTTTTTTTCTAATCTGGACTTATTACTGCATTCAACTCATAAGGATCATATATAGGTTCTTATATATTTTTAAAATTAAAAGCACTTTTAGGCACTTTGACATTCTTTAAAATTGATCTACCTATTTATAAGGCTTCGACCTCATCATTTGCGTAATGATCAGTTAGACCAGAAATTTTGCAATGCACATCGGCACCACCAAGGTCTTCAGCAGTGACTATTTCGCCTGTAGCAGCTTTTACTAAAGGAGGTCCTCCTAAAAATACTGTTCCATTACCTTTCACTATTACATTTTCATCTGACATGGCAGGTACATATGCACCTCCGGCAGTACATGAACCTAAAACAAGGGAAATCTTATTTTAAACAAAAATAAAATATATTTTTTTTATGTTACTTAAGGTATTCCTTTAGCTGACATATTAGCCTAATTAAAGAAAATTCTTCCAAAATGATTTTTATCAGGAAAAACGTCATCTTATCTAGGCAAATTAGCACCTCCACTATCCACTAAATAAACGCATGGAAGATAATTCTATTCTGCAATTTCTTAAGCTCTGATATGCTTTTTTACTGTAATTGGATAATATGAACCTCCTTTTACGGTTGGATCGTTTGCTACTATCATACAAAATTTATTCTATATTAAACCTATGCCGGTTATTATTCCACCAGATGGAACTTCTTCTTTTTCGTATAATTCGAAACCGGCTAATTGGGAGAGCTCAAGAAAAGGACTACCTGGGTCAAGTAGTTTAGATATTCTTTCACGGGCAGATAGTTTTTTGCGTTCTTTTAATTTATCGTGGGCGGTCTTTGGACCTCCTTTGAGAATTTTCTGAATTGTAAAGTCAAATTCTTGGTTTATTTTTTCTATTTGGGATATGTTTTATTTATAGATTTCAGAGTCTTTATCTAAATCAGCTTAGAGGATAGGGTATTCGTAAAAGGACTTAGTTGGTTATTGTTGCTGGAGATTGGAAATATTTTAGATTTGTTTTTGGGAAAATATAGTAAATATTTATTTTGCTTTTTTTAGGTTTAAAATCATTTTTATTTTATTGGATGTGATTGATTATAGGATTTTAAGGTAAATATATTTTTAAATATATTTTTTTTTTTTAGAGTAGTTTTCTTTTATTTATTTTTTCTAAAAAATAAAATAGTTCAAATGCGTAAATTGTATCTTAGTATATAAATTTTTAATATATTTTTTACATAAGAATAAGTATTAAAATATAAATTTTCAAATTAAATTAATATTAAAAATTTTCAAATTAAATCAATAGTATAAATAAAACATTTTAAATTAAATAATAAATATATAATTTATTTGTTTTGTATTTTTTTAAGTTTAATTTTATTATTAATTTAAATGATTATATATTTATATTAAATACAATAAGCAAAAATAAATGATGAAATACATTAAATAATATTTCAATAAAAAAGCTTTATTATTATATTATTTTTTTATTATTTTTTTTAAAGTGAAAAAAATAAATAAAATCTTAAATTATTTTTAAAAATTAAAAAATAAATGATAAATTATATCTACTAATGTTTTGATTTATAAATTATTATTTTTTAAAAATAGAATATAAATATTAAACATTTTCAAATTAATAAAAATATAATAAAATATATTTCTTTCAATCTTTCAAAATCAAATAAAAAAATCATTCATCTTCTGGTTTATCAGGAAAAATACTTAATTTTGTATTAGTATATCTATTATTGAAAAGCCAATTAGCAAAATGTTAGATTATATAAACCGCATTTTTAAGTTATTCATCCGATGGTCCAATAATGTTTAAAGATTCTGTAGAATATTCTTATAAATATGAAGGCAAAATTTCAATAATAAAATCGTTACATATAAGAAAACAATCATCTCCATTATTGACTTAACAAAACTCCTGTTCTCTAAGTTAAGGATCAATCGTGATTAAATTTTAATTATTTGTGTTTTATTATTATTATTCGCCAAATTCTTCATTTAAATTACTATTTAATTTTTACTCTAAAGCATTCCATCCATATTAATTTAAGGCTTTTCTATAAAAACATAAGAATATAATTATTTCTTTTAATGCCAAATTAGAAATTCCTTTGGCTATGTAATTTATAAAAAGGACAAATATTTTATTCATTGGAGTTTTTTTCAAATCTCCTTTTGAATCTAGTTATTCTACAAGATAATTTAATGAATCGTCCTCTAAATTTTTAATTCCATCTAAAAGTACTTTATATTCATTTTCGCTTTTACAATCGAAAAAAATTGTTGGAAATATATCACTTAGTTTTTAGTCTAAATTCCATTCTTCATTTTTATTCTTTTTTTTTTTTTTTTTTTTTTTTTAATTATTATTTTATTTTTAAAAAATTTTATACTCTACGATAATTCTTATCTATTGTATCTAAAAAATTCAATAAATCTTCAAGGATATCTGCTTGTTCACTTTATTCTAAACTTTTTTCTTCTTCTTCTTTTTGTAAGTCACTTATTTCTTCTTTCTATTTTTTTTTTTTATTTTTATTTAATAATAACTAACTATGTTTATTTATTTTTTATTTTTTTTGTAAAATATTATATTATGTGTTTGTTACTGTTTTTTTTTTTATTTATGATATTATTCTTTTTTTTTATTTTATTTTTTATTTAAAAAATATGTACTTTTGGAGGTCTTCCTCTATTGTTTTATTTACCAGTAATGCTTGGTAAAATTGTACTTTCGGGAGGTTATCCATTGTGTTTTCTATATTTTTAAAAATAATTTAATATTTAATTTATTTTGATTTCTAACTATTTTAAATGTGTATATAATGCAGGATAAGATAAATATGATTTGCCACATCCACATATATATTTTCTATCATTTTAATCTTTCTTTGTTCTTCGTGTTTTTTTTTCTCCATTTTAATTATTGCTTAATTCATTATCTAATTTAAAATACTGATTTAATTAGCTTGAGTCCTAATGTTGTTATTATTACTATTATTACATTACATTTAATAAATATTATTAAACTTGGGGCTATTAGTTTTCCATATTTTTTTTTATATAAATTTATATGTTTATTTTTATAATTGAAAATGATTATTGATATTATTATAGTTTTTTTTGCAAAAATAATTTTATATTTTTTTTCTTTTATTTTTTTTTAAAAAAAAAAAAAAAAAAAAAAATTTAATAAACTAAATTTTTATTGAAAAAAGATATATAATTAAAATAATTTATATCAAATTTTTTAATAATACCATAGAATTATAGTCCCAAAAATATTTTTAATATATATATTTTTAGAAAAAAATTATTCGATATATAAATTAATTATATATTATAATAATTATTTATTTTTATGTATTAATTATAAATATTGCATATTTTTATATTTAATTATATATAAAATTAAATAATAAGTCTTTTAATATTTTTATATATAAATTATTGTAATAAAAATAACAAAACTAAAATTATATTTACTTTTTTTTAATTTATTTAACTTCATATTATACAAATCATTATTGACTATTATAAAAAGGGCGCGAAATCAAATATTAAGAATCTTAACACAATTTATAATTAATTTAACATATGATTATAATATAAATAAAATATTATGTTATAAAAATATTTTGAAAAGTTGCTTATATATAAGTTTTAAATATATATAAAAATTATATTAATATATATAAATAAGAATAAAAATAAAAATGGAAAATTAAATAAAAACAAAATATAAATATATGTTTTAATAATATAAACATCATATAAATAAACATTTATATATTATTATTTTTTTTTAAAGAAAAATAAAATGTAAATTTTGTTATTTTTATATATTAAAAAAAAAAAATCAAAAATATATCTTGAATTTATTATCTTTAATTTCTAAAATCTATACTTTTCCTTCTTAAATATTAATAAGGTTTCCTTCTAGGAAAATATTTTTCAAATTATTAGAAATCAATTAATTTTATATATGCATTAAAAATTAATTTGATATTTAATTATCTTAAAGATATAAATTTTAAATATGTAAATTTTTCAATTTAATTTAATCAATTAAAAGACTAGCACCTTTATCAGTAATTTTATTTTTATTAAAATTAATATTTTTAAGTATTTTATTATTGATTTAAATATAATCGCATAAACGAATTAAAGTATCATCATCAATTTCTTTAAAAAAAATAATAAATTAATTAATTAATTATATATATATATATATATTTATATATATATATATATATATTAATATACATGCATTAGATAAATCAACATCTTCTAGGGCACTTTTTTAAATTTAATTTAAAATAAAATTAAAATTTTATTATAAAAGATTTTCGCCTTTCAATTCAATGTTATTAGAATTTTTAATTGCATTTTTATATACTTAATGAATGTTAAAATTTTCGTAATTTTATTATTATTCTAATAATTTAAGAATATTTTCAGTATCAATCCCATATATAATTTAATTATCTATATTTGTATATGATGTAATTTTGTTTTAATAATTATTATCACTGAAATCATGAATGTTTATATTTTACTATAAATATAATATAAATATAATATAAATATATATATATATATATATTTATATATATATATAATATAATAAATTATACATGATAATAATTTCTTTATATAGCTGAGTTTTTACGTGAAATATTAATATTTTCTGATTCATTAAATTAATTATGTATTTCATCTGTGTTCATAAGTAGATTTTCATCTAATGATTCATGATTGAATACACTTGTTAAATTTTTTTTTAATGAATTCGGAGAATCTATAATATTAGTGTTATTTATATTATTATTTATAAAACTGTATGTTTTGTTTTGTATAATTTAAGAGTTATATTTTTTAGAGAAAGGTGATTCAATTATAAATTTTATATTATTAATTTGCAATTATTATTATTATTATTATTATTATTATTATTATTATTATTATTTTTCTTTTTCTTTTTCTTTTTTTTATTCTTATTCCTATTCAATTTTTTATTCTTATTCCTATCCAATTTTTTATTCTTTTTTCTATTCTTATTCTTATTATTTTTATGTTTCCTATTTTTTTTATTCTTATTATTTTTGGAATACATTCGATATATCTTTTTTTTCTATAATTTTTTTTATTTAATTTCTTTATAATTTTATGTATTTTTTTCTAGTAGAATTTGTATATCTTCATTATCTAAATCTTCTATTAAATTTTACGATTCTAACATTTCTTATTTTTTGGGACAAAATTTATTTTATATTTAAATTTGTATTGTATTTGGAATTGTTTCCTTATATTTTTTATCAGGAATAATTTATATTTCTACATTTTTTAAGTTTTGTATATTTTACTCTAAATTTTATATTGAATCCTATACTATTTTGACAACTTCCTTTCCTTCATATATTATATCTTTTTAATTTTTTGGATCATTTAGTAAATCTAAAGAATAATTTTCAATATTATCGTTATTATTTTACAATATTGTCAATATTTTTAATTTTGCGTCTTTTTTTTTTTTAATTTTTTTTTTTAATTATTATTATTACTTTTATAAAAAATTATGTGTTAAATTTAAAGTTTTTTCATGATTTTCAATTAAAAAATTCTAAAAAGATTTTTATTTTTATTCAAAATATTATTTAATTTAATTTATTTGATTTTCTTAAGTTTCTTTTATTAAGTTTATTATTTACTTTTTTTTTTTTTTTTTTTAAACAAATAATAATAAATTTAATTTTTAATTTTTTTTTACATTATATTCATTTTCTAATTATAGAATTTAATTTTATTTATTTTCTTCAATAATTTTATTATATAATCTTTAGTGTTCTTAATAATTCCCTAAATATTCTTAATTTTAAACTATATTTTACATAATTTTCTCTAAACTTTCTGCCCTTTTTGTTATTTCTTATAAAACATCTTCTTCACTTCTTACATAATGTGATTTATGTCCTTAAAATAAAGCACAATATGCACATATTTTTATTTTGCAGTCAATACATACTATATCAAGTTTTTTATTATGCTCAAAACAAATAATGTGTCCTCCTTTTTCTTCTGTGGAAAGGTTTGAAGATAGTTTTGTGGTTTCTTCTCCTGTTGAATTAAAAGAACATACATCAGAAACTCTACTTGTATATATAGAATATTATTATTTGATTTTATTTTTTTAAATTAGTCTTATTAGTGTTATATTTTTAGGAAATTAATTTAATCTTTTTAATATTCATAATTTTTTTATATGTAAAAAATTTACTTTTATAAATTCGTGTTTTATAAATCTTCTGGACATACAAAATTTTCAGATTCTTTAAGTCTATTTTCTATACAATTTGTACATATTGTGTGACCACATTATGGAATTAAACGAGGAAGCTTTTCACCTGTATCTTCGAATAGTTAGGAACATAAAAAACACTGGAATTCACTATAATCTTCTAGCATTTTTTGTTTTTTTATAAATAATGATATTTTAATTTTTTTGTATTTAAAAAAAATCGTATTTTTTTTATATAAAATACTTTTACTTTAAATTTTATGTTTTTTTTTATTAATTACTATATAAAAAATAGTAATTATATAAGAAAAAATTAATTAATATAATTTTTATTATTATTTTTTTATTTTTTATTTTTAAAATATTTAATTTACTTTATATTTTAATTATTTTAATTTGAAATAATAATTTTGAAAATTAATTTATGAGAAATATTACATTTTCTATTTTTATATAAAAAATGAAATGAAAATACAATAGTTTTAAAATAATATTGAGCAATTATATTAGTAATATTTGCATTAAGATAAATTATTATGATTTATAGATTAAATTAAAAGTATTATATATTTATTTCTATATTATTTAAAATTAATATAAAAAATAATATAAAATATTATTTAAAATTAAATTAAAATTAAAATTCAAAAATTATATAATAATAATAATATAGTCTAATTAAAATAAAGAATGAAAATCATAATATTTTAATATAATAATTTAATTATTTAAATAATATGAATACAAAATTTATTCTTAATAAACATTTAAATAAAAAAATAATATTAATTACAAAAATAATTAATATGTTTTAAAATAAATTAAATTTTAAAATATATAATAATATTAGCTTAATTATAAATATTATTAATTTTTTTCAAATATTTAATAAAATAAAATTTAAAATTTTATATATATAATATAAATATATATATATATATATATATATATATATATATATATAAAAAAAAATATTAATAACATTTTTTTTTATTTATAAATTATTTATATATATTTGTGTATAACATCTAAATATATTAAAGAAAAATCTAATTTTAAATAAAAGAAATTTATATTAATTTTTTATTAGAAAAAAATAAAATTAAAAATAAAAATAAAATGGAAAGTAGATCTTATATGTTTTCTCTTGCTAAAAAGAGATCCACATTGCTTGAAAATAAAATTATTGTGTAAGATAAAATTTATTTCGAATTTTCAATTAAATTTAAACGTTTATATATTTTTTTTTATAAAATATTATTATTTAATCATATTTATTATTTTAAAAATATTTTATATTATATTCATTTATAAAATATAAAATAAAGTTTCTAAAGAGAAGACGATAACGCACCAAGAATGAAAATTTTAAGAAAAGAATGCCCTGATGACTATTAAACTTATAAAGAAGTAATAATTATATTATATTTAGATGCATAAATAAATATTTAATTTTATTAGTGTATGGTAAAATTTAATTCTGAAGCAAAATGTGTAACATTTAAAGATAAAATGATCGAATGTGGTGTAGTTGCATTTAAAAAAGCAAACTCAGAAGCCGGTTATATATTTGAGTGATTTTATAATTATAGTTTATAATCAAAATAAAAAAATGATTAATATTAATTATAATAATAATAATATAAGAAAATACAATAAAAAAAATGTTATTATTGTTTTAATTGCAATATTAAATAAATTGATAATTTAATATATATACTTTTCTTTTTTATATTTAATAATCTGGAATTTAAAAAAATAAAAAAAAAAATATATGGAAATTATTTTACTTTTATCGTGATAAGTCTATTTATAAATTCAAGTAATTAAAACTATGCTTAATTGTTTGTTTTTTTAAGAATAAATTTTCAAATATTTATTAATTTTTAGTTTTTTTTAGAGAATTCTATTAATAATATAATTATTTTTTATAATTATTATATATTTTATTCATGAAATAATAGATAATTTTTTTTTTATTAAATTAATTTTTAAAATAAATATAGAAAAAAGAAAAAAAAAATGGAAAAATAATATATATATTTAATTTATCAATAATTTTTAAAATTAATAATGGATAAGTTTTTTTTATAATAAATTATTATTATATAATATTTGAAAATTTAAAATTATAAATTAATGTGTAATAAATAATTTAAGAAATTACTCAAAAATTATATATAAATATTTAAAAAAATATAATTAATTTTATTGTATTTTTTTATTTAATAACTATAGAATTTATAACATATTTTTATATTTGAAATATTTTATTTTATTTAAGTTTTTTATATATTAAAATAATTATTATTTAAAGTTTTACTTATTTATTAATACTATTTAACAATGATAAAACAAATTTATATTTTTTTTATTTTACTAAATTAAATTAAATTAAATACATTAAATATTATAATAAAAATATAAACAAATAATTTTTAAATTTATTTATAAAAAATAGTATTTAATAATAATACGATTATTTTAATATCAAAATAAAATAAAAAAATAATAATATGAATTGTTCAAAAACACAAAAATAAATTAAAAAACATTTGGAAAATATAATAAATACTAAATAAAATATAAAAGAATAATAATAATATTATATTTATTATTTTATATAATATTAATTATAGTTAAAAAATTGATTTTTAATTATTGATTTTAATCAATAATTTAATTTTTTATAAAATAAAATATATATTTATAATTATTTAATTTAAATATTTATTTTTTATTTCTAAACATCAAATAAATCATAAATTAATTAATTCAAATAAATAAAATAAAATTTATAACTATTCTTATTAAATATTTTATTTTTTTAATTTATATAATTTGTTTTTAAATTATAAAACTTCTATTTTAAAACATTAACTAAAAAACAAACCTATATACGAATAAATAAATAAATATAATATAAAATATATAACTTTTTTGTTATAATAAATTAGAAATTAGAAAAATAAAATTAAATTACAGAAAATAAAAAAATGATATCAAAAGGAGATTCTAAACGGTGTTCGTAAATAGTTAGGAATTTCGAAGAGCTTAAACAGTAAGTTCAATTAAACAACTAGTTAAAATAAGAACGTTATAGTCAAATCGGATAAATTGATGCTAAAGGACGAGCATAAAGAATAATAAAAGACGCGGGTGCAGGAAATAGAGCTTCTTTATTGAGTTTTGAAGTTGAATTAATAACATAAACTGAAAAATAATTACAATCTGGGGATAAAAATAACCTATGTAAGAAATAAATATCTAACAAACTAATTGCTCAATCTGCAAAAAGCAAAGCTGAAGCTAAGAAGAATTTGGCTTAAGATGCTGAAGATTATGATGAACATAGAATTCATTTGGATGAACTTAAAGAAAGATATCATACAGATTTTGATAAAGGCTTAGAAGAGAATTATGCACGTGAATAAAATAGAATACATGGAGATAATAAGTTAACTGAAAAGAAGAAAAAATCTTTAATATTGATGTTTTTAAAAGAAATTTCTCACGGTTTTGCACTACTTTTGTGGTTTGGGTCTGCATTGTGTTTCCTGGCTTATGGTTTGGATCCTGAAGATATTTCCAATATTTATTTGGGTGTGATTATTATTTTCGTTAATTTACTTACTGGGGCTATTACTTTCTAATAAAATATGGCTTCTGAAGCTTTAATGGAATCTTTTAAGAATTTTTTACCTTAAAATTGTAAAATTATTAGAGAAGGAAAAGTCCTACAAATTGAAGCTATAAAATTAGTCAAAGGAGATATTGTATTTATAAAATAAGGAGATAAAATACCCGCTGATCTCAGAATTATTTAAAGTTCAGAAATGAAAGTAGATAATTCTGCTTTAACAGGTGAGGCAGAACCTTAATTAAGAACTACAGAATGTACTCATCCTGATAACTATATGGAAACTGCAAATCTAGCTTTTTTTGGAACATTATGTAAAGAAGGGCATGGTAAAGGAGTAGTCGTAAAAATTGGAGATAGTACATGCTTAGGATAAATTGCAAATCTTTCTTCAGCCGAGAAAAAAGTTAAGAGCACTTTGAAATAAGAAATTGATAGATTTGTGATTATTATTTTCTTTTTGGCTGTCGGATTAGGTATTTTGTTCTTCCTTTTGGGACTTTATGTTGTCGAATATCCTATTTTGGCATGTGTATTATTCGGTATAGGTATTTTAGTATCTAATGTGCCAGAAGGATTACTTGGGTGTGTAACTGTTTCTTTGGCTGTTACTGCTAAGAAACTGTCTGAGAAAAATGTTCTAGTAAAAAATCTTGAAGGAGTGGAAACTTTGGGGTCTACATCATGTATTTGTTCAGATAAAACAGGAACATTAACATAAAATGTGATGACTGTGGAGCATATGTGGTATAATAATAAAGTTATTAAGGCTGTAAATAAATCCATATTATAACCAGGTGAATCAACTTAATATGATGAAAAAGATCCGGATTTTATAGAATTACATAAGGCTACTATTCTTTCTTCGGAAGCTAAGTTTAATTTATAGAAAGAAGCTGACATTAATAATGTAGATTATAAGAAAGTGGCGGCTTTGGGAGATGCTACGGAAACTGGCTTAATTAGATTCTTTTAATATATAGAAGATATTGAACATACTAGAAGTTAATATAAAATTGCGAAAAGTCCAGATGGTTCAGAAGCGAGAATGCCTTTTAATTCCACAAATAAATTTGCATTGACTGTGGCTGAAATGTAGACTAATAATAGTGATTATTGTATATATATTAAAGGTGCACCGGAAAAAATTTGGACTTTTTGTAATTAAATTTAGTAAGGTGGGAGAAATTTAAATATAGATGATTAATAAAATAAGATTTTTTAATAAGTCAATCTTGATTTTGGTAAAAGAGGTGAAAGAGTACTAGGGTTTGCAAAATTGTAGTTACCAAGAAGTGCTTATCCGCTTGAAAATACAGTTTTTACTGTCACTCATATTGATAAATTTAATTTTAAAATGGAAAATTTCATTTTTGTGGGACTTGTGTCGTTAATTGATCCACCAAAAAAAAGAGTACCAATGGCTATATTGGAATGCAGAGCTGCTGGTATTAAAGTAATTATGGTTACTGGAGATTAACCACCTACTGCAGCCGCAATAGCTAAATAAGTTAATATTATTCCGAAAACTGTAAAGACTAATGATGATCTTATGGAAGAAGAAGGCCTTACTTGGGATGATGCTGCCGTAAAATGTAATGCTATTGTAGTCCATGGTGAAAAAATTACTAAATATTTAGACAGGGAAATTTAAGAAGGGTTACCACCCTTTACTTATTTAAGAAGATGGGTAAATAAGCCTTATTGTGTTTTTGCAAGAACTACTCCTGCGTAAAAATTGTAGATTGTATAGGCTTGCTAGGCTGAAGGATTTGTATGTGCAGTTACTGGGGATGGTGTAAATGATTCACCAGCTATTAAATAAGGTGATATTGGTATTTCTATGAATATTTCAGGATCCGATGTAACTAAAGATGCTGCTGATATGATTTTATTAGATGATGATTTCGCTTCTATAGTTTAAGGAGTTGAGGAAGGAAGAAAAGTATTCGATAATTTAAAGAAGTCAATTGTTTATATACTTACTTCTAATATTCCGGAAATTATTCCTTTTGTGGCTTTTATTATTTTTAGAATTCCTTTACCTATTACTAATATTTATATGATTGTTATTGATGTTGGAACTGATATTGTCCCTTCGATTTCTTTAGGTTATGAAGTTGCCGAAATCGATGTTATGACAAGAAAACCAAGGAAAAAAGCTGATCATTTATTATCTTTTAGAGCTTTAACTCATTCTTATTTACTTATGGGACCGATTTCTTTAGGAGGAGGATTTATTGGATATTATACTACTTTTAATTAAATGGGTTTCCCGATTTATTCATTATTTGGAATGGCTACATGGACTGGATACCATAAGCCACCTCATGGAGATTTCAGTGATGGGCATGGGTGTTAAAATACCTATGATAATGATTGTGCATATTTTAATGCTAATTTTATGAATCCTGAGGCTTCTAGTTGTATTGAAGATGAAGAAAATGCTTATATTGAGGAATGGGTATTAAATTGGCTTACAATTCCTGATGGAAATTATGATTTGAGAAAGGCCTTTATATATTGTGATAGATTAACTGGTAAATGGAGTCCGAAAGTCAAATGGTCTTATTGCTAAAAAGAAAACTATCACTCACCTATTACTGATGAAACAGCTTGTTATACTACTGAGGCTTTGAAATATGCGTAAACTGCTTGGCTTTTAGCTATTGTATTCTTTTAATGGAGTAACGTTATTTGTTTGAAGGGAAGATAAACTTCATATTCTGTTAGTTGCCCAAATAAAGTTATGTTCTTTGGGATGATTTTGGAAATTATCATTTTAGTTTTCTTATGTTATACACCAGGGATTTAAATTGTTTTTGGATCAAGACCGATGACTTGGTGGTAGTTTGGGTAACCGGCTATGCCTTTTTCGATTTTATTGATGCTTTTTGAAGAAACTAGGAAATATTTAATTTAGAAATCTATATGGTTCGAAAAACATTCTTTATGGTGATTTGAAAGTAATTGTTTTTTTGAAGTATGGATATAAACAATAATTATTAAATGATATATATTTATTTTATATATCTAATTTGTTTTATTATTTTAGTAAAATATTCACTTTTTTTTATTTAAAATAAAATATTTTTCTAATTTTTTTATATTTATATAAACTCTATTTTTTAATTTTAAATATGAAAATTATAATTAATATTTGAAATATTTTTTTTAATTATAAATTAATTAAATGAATTTAAAAAATATTATAATTTTTATTATTAAAAATTTAATTTTTACAATATTAAAATGTTATTCATAAATTAAAATATTTATCTAAAAACAAAATTATAATAATATAATGATAAATGATAAATAAAACTATCAAAATAAATAATTATTTAAAATAAGATACTTTTAAATAAATAACGAATTTCAATATCTATCAGCAGATATGTCATTAAGTTAAATAATTTAGGCGAAAACAATAAAATTAAGGCTATTAAAAAAATTATAAAAAAATAAAAAAATAATATATTTTTGTTATCTATATAACTTATTAATAAATTGATTTAAAAATAAATTAGAAGAATATTTATAAAATAAGTCCATTTTCTTTTCTGATTAAAAGAGATTTAGTGGTCATTAGAATAAAAAAAATGAAGATGAAGAATATAAAGATGAAGACAATTATTCCTTAATAATTTAAGAAAAATTTTGTAATTAAAATATTTTTAAAAAATATGTAAAAATCATAAAATTGGGAATATTCATAATATACAAAGTTGTCTTAAAATAAATAATAAATTATAAAAAATAAAAATAATTAAATATTAAAAATTTATTAAAGATAAAAGAAAAAAATGATTAAATATACATTTAGAAAAAAATAAATTCGATGAATAATAAAAAATATTATGAATAAGGTATAATTTAAATAATAAATTTAATGAATAAGAATATAAAAAATAAAATATTAGATTAAAAATAAAATGTAAGCATAACATGCTATTTTTTAAATTGATATTTTTTTAAAAAATAATTTTTACTTAAAGAAATATATATAAAAAATTATTATAAATAAGTATAATTTTACTAATAAAGTTAAAAATAATATAAATTAATAATAAAAATATATATTATAGATATAATTAAACAAAAAATAATAATAAAAAGATTAATTGAATATATAAATATATATATATATATATATATATATAAATATATATATATACTTTTTTATTTTTTAATAAATAATTATATTTTATAAATATTTATATTTTAAATGAATATAAAAAATCTTATCTGTTTTTATTTAATCTATTCTTATTTTTTTATATTTAAAATATATATGAATTTTTTTGTTTTTTTCATTAGTAATTTTTTTATTTCAATAAAGAAATTTCTTTTTTAATATTATTAATCTTTATTATCGAATCTTCGTATAATTATTTATAGTTATCTCTTTCTTAAGCTAATTCTTTAATTTATTTTTATTATACTTTTGAATATAAAGTAGTGGATAAATATTTCTAATATTAATTATTACTTACATTACTTGTATTTAATTCACTAGTATTATTATTTTAATTTAATCTTTAAAAATTAGTTTTACTTTTGAATTCAATTTTATATTTATCATAAGAATCAGCATTTATTACATTTTTAAAAGTATTTTTTTTCTTATAATTAGATTTAAAATCTTCCAAAATATTATACTATTTTTTATTTTGTTCTTAATTTTTATGATTTTGACAAACTTTATTTTTTTCTTCATTACTATTCGTATTTTATTTAAATTAATTTTCTTAATATAAATTATTGCTTTCATGTCTATTTACTTCTTATTCTTATTCTTTTACATTTTCTTCTACTTTTTCTTCTTCTTATCTAATTTGATTATTGTTTTATTATTATTACTCAATATATTAGGGAGTATTATATTCTTAAATTTAAATAAAAGGTTATATATTTTATGTAAATTGACTTTAAGTTAATAATCCTTTTAAAAAATTATTATAATTTTATGAATATAAATTTGTAAATTCAGATTCACTGAAAATCTTCGATATAATACTGTCTACACCATCTATTTAACTTGCTAATAATTACTCTATAAGGTTGCTTTAAGTATTATTTTGAAATTCCTAGAATTTTTTTTCATATTCTTCTAAAGTTTATGTACTTATTTTTTGTTAAGAGTTTAATTAGGTATATAATTTTTGTTTGCTTTCGCTTATAGAACTTAAAGCTTTATTTGACTCTTATATATAATCTATTTTTTATTTACTTTAATTCATATTTATTTAGTTTCGAAAAAAAAAAAATATTTATAATTATAATCTTTGTCTTGTTTTTTTTATTTGTTATAATATATATTATATGCAATAAAATTAAATATTTTAAATAATATTTGCTTATTATACATATCATAGTTATTAAAATTTTATGTTTTTTATTATTAAATTTATTAAAAAAAGAAAAGAAAATAAATCAACAATATTAAATTTTTTAAAAAAATCCCAAATTAAATTTTACAGATGGAAGTAAACGAGAAACAAGAATAATATATACTTCCTCCTTAAGAAAAAGGATTAGAAGGATATTTAAATTAAATTAAATTAATATCGTTTAACGTATTATTTGTATTATTAAAAGAAGAAGAAGGCGAAAGTGTTTATGTAAAAAAATAAAATTAATAAAAAATATATATAAAAAAAGAATTTATATTTTGCAACAGCAATGGATTATTTATAAATGCACTCGTTTCCTTTTCATTAAAAAATAACTCATATATGGAAAGCTACTGATTTTTTAAAAATAATATTTGATTTTTTTTATTTATTTAATATAAATAAATATATGCCTCGAATAAACTATTTCATATTTATAACTTCAGTATATTTTTTAGACTTCATAATCTTTTTAATTATTCTCGATATAATTTTCGTTTCTTATAGTTTTTCAAAAAAGAAGTTTTCGACAACTTGGCCTTTGACAATTTTAAGAAGTGTAGCTTCCCTTTTGGTGACTGTTTTTTTTTTGCCAATAACTGAAACTTTGGTATCCGTAGTTTAATGCTCAACAAATGAATAGGGGCAGTTGGGTTTAGATTCATTCCCTGAAGTTATTTGTTGGGAGGGTTGGCATTTATTCCATGCTTTAATTTCTAGTTTGTTCAATTTAATTTTCATGTTTCTAAGTACTATAGTTGCTTTGACTTATTTTTAGCCGAAATAAACTAGCGAAGATAGAACTGCTAGATAAGATTCTAAAGGGGAAGTGGCTTTTATATTAAATAAAGTAGTCTGTTAGTGTCTTTTTTCTTTTATTCCGGAAGGAAACGATTGGTTTTTGGTTATTTTGGTTTTCGTGCTTAGTCTAGGATTACATTGGGTTTATAATATGGAAGATCCTTATTATGATTAAGAAGTGGGGCTTTTTTATAAAATTGTGAGTACTTATTATTTATGGACTAATGCGAATCTTTTAATTAGTTAAATTTTAACTAATATTGATTTTAATGGAGGACTTATTTCTTGGCTTATTGGTCTACCGTTTATTGTTTTGATTATGATTACGACTAAAAAAAGCAGAATCGATACTTTAATAAGGAGTTAGATGAAATTTAGATCTGGGGAGTAGATTTAAGGACATTTGAGGTATGTTTTGTAGTTAATTGGGGATTAAAAGAAAGACAAAAATGCGTATATTTTACTTATTGGGTATGTGGAGAAACATAAGGAAACTTGTCAAGAAGAAGATTGTCCTTTAAAGAGGATTAATAATTAATAATAAGGAGGGAAAAAGAAATAGTAATAATAATAATTAGTTTTAAGTGAAATGGATGATATATGTAATAATTTAATTAAAGAAATTGATAGAATATATTAAAATGGTTTAAAGAAATTTCCTACATGCACGAAATTGAGAATTTCCTATGCGTTTTTTCTAATGGAAAGGTTTTAAAATAAACGAGAAAAGTGTTTTTAATAATTAAAAATCGCAGAAAAAACGAAGCCTTCTTTTGATGAGTAATTCATTATATATAGATATAAGAAAATTTTAGAAGAAAACTTAGATTAAATAGGGGAAAATGAAGAAAACGAAAACGACATAGTAAAACTAATAGCTTTTGATTCCCATATATAGTAATGTGAAGAATATATGAAATTATCAGCATAAATGCATAAGGAGTTCTGGGCTGAATTAAAGGAAGAAAACCCTGGTTTATTGAAATTAAATATTATAGGGAGTAAAATAAGTAAGGCAGTACATGAGGCGAAATCACATTATTATGATATGTAGAAAATTAACTCGAAAATACACTAGACAATAAAGACTTTTGGGAAATATCTAATTTATGTACTAAATGATAGGGAAAACGGGAAAATTTTATTAGAAAAAGCTGAATTTATATAACAATAGTAAGAATAAGTGGAAAAAAAGGAAGATAATATTGAAAAAATTTTCGATTTCAAAAGTGAACCGATTGCTTATTTGGTCGTGAAAAATAAAAAAGGAGAAATAGGGCATATAGAGCAGTGTAATATGCTTTTTTCAGCACTTTTTGGTTATTAAAAAGAGGAAGTTTAAAATAAGTAAATTTAGGTGATTTTACCTAATATATATGTGGAGATACATTAGTAGTTTTTATAAAGATATTATGAGAATGTAGCTTTAGGAATTACAAATTCGAATTATTTAAATGAAAATTAATATAGCTTCGGGAAGAATAGAAATGGATATATTTTTCCATTGTTTTATTATGTGAGTGTTTTGACGGATGATTTTTAAATGTTTCTATGCAATTTTAATGCAGATTGTTATATTAAATAAACTTTTTATGTTTTAACTAACTAAGATGGAGTTATTATAGATATTTCTTAAGGAAGTATTTATTTTTTGGGATTAGAAGTGGCCATTATTAAGAAAAAAAGTGTAAATATATGCACTTTTGTACCCGATTGGAAGGATGAGAAGAAGTATTATGAGAAAAACGGGAAAGAATTCTCTTATAATGTAGTTTAGGTAGATGGTAATGTAATATTAATGCATTTTTAATGTCATATTTAAGCTTTGAAAGTTGAAATAAATCAGATTTTTGATGAAAGTGAAAATTTTGAAGAGGACAACAAAGGAGAAGAAGAAGAAGAGGCAGAAGAAAACGAAGAAAAAGAAAAAAAGGGAGAAATAATGGGTTTTTAATTTAAAATTGAAAAAATAGAAAAGAATATAAATTTTAAAATTGAATCGAATTCTCTTTTGAAAAAAAATAACAAAATAAAGAATAATTTAAATTAATTTACAAAAGAAAATGAAAATCTGGCAAAATTAGTATTCGATTTATATAAAGATAAATAATAAATTGAACATGATTTTAGCAATTAATTTCCAGATTAAAAATAAGATTATGAAGACGAGAGTTTTCTAGAAAAATAAAATTTTAAAGATTTCTCAAAAGGTATAAAAACTAAAAGACTATTTAACAATCGAATAGATAATATATTTGAAGGTTATTATGAAGAAGAAGTATCCGAAGATCAAGAAAATAGCGTTTTTGTAAATTAAATAGGAGAAAAATATGAAGATGAGGAAGATTATCATATATTTAATTAATCTAATTCAACTGAAGTAATTAGAAAAGCCCTAAATAATTCACATAAGCATTAATTAATTAAAGGATTTTTAGTTATTTCGTTAATTTGGAATATTTTGGTTATTGGTTTATCAGTTTTCGAGTATTTTTTTTGCTTGTAAAGACTAGAAAGCTTCGAATTGGGGTTTAGGATAGTTTAAATTTTAAATTCGAGAATTTTCGAAGTTAATAAATTAGTGACTAAAGTAATTGATAAATAATAAAATTTATATTAAGTGTAGTAAATAAATACGGAAATTGATAAAAGCGTTTAGAGTTTGATTTTTTTAAACGAGAAAATTAATAATTAAGAATTCGATGATTTTTTGCATAAAAAAAGTGAAAAAATAAACTTCATATTTTTTTAAAAAAATTCATATTTAAATTCTAATTAAAATATTGATTTAAATAATGTCATTTTATTAATGGGAGTTTTAGGAGATTCAGATTTGTTGGATAATTAAGGCTTTTTAGTCAATTTTTTTAATGGAATTTATCAAATTTTAAAAGATTAGTCAGTAAATGCTGAAAAATTAATATTATCCAATATACAAAAAAATGAAATTGAGTTAATTTTAAGTCTATTAGTGACTTTTATTGTCTGCTTTTTGGCAATTTCTTTATTTATTTTAATTACCATTGCTATAAAAAATTAAAGAGAAAGTATTTTGTTTCTTTTCTTAGATATTCCTTAGAAACATGTATATTATTTATATAAACATTGTGATAAATTCCTTTAAACTTATGTTTCGATAAGGTAATAATTACAAAAATCGGAAGAAAATAATCAATTTTAGGAAGGATAATTTGAATCTTCTGATGAATCTGAATAAGACGATGAGATATAATTTTAATAAGAATTAGAAAAAAAAAAAATACTAAATAACATTTCTTAAGAAGAAAATTAAAATGATAGTGAAATTTAAAAAGATTTAATTTAAAAAAGAAAAAAAATCATACAGAAGTATATGGCTAATAAATATTAAGGGGCATAAGGACTAATTTTTAATTATATTTTTATTCTTATATTTACTCTTACTTATTCTATTATTAATTTTTATATTATTTTTAACTAAAAAAATACTATTTAGTTTATATGGCCTTAATATTATTAAATTGATTATATGTAAATAAATATTGCGTATTATCTAAATATATAAAAAATAATGCTTATTAAACCAGAATTTAATATAAATGGGATAACTGCGTAGAATGAAGCATAAAATTTGTTGTAAAATTTATTAGGATAAAACGGTAATTTAAAAGACGTAATATATATAAATATATATTTTATTATTATTTTTTCTTTTAGTTTTATTTAGAATTATTTACTAATAATATGTATGATTTAAAAAATTAGTATTTCAATATTTTTTATAGAAATCCTTGTTAAATTGTTAACTTTTAAAATATTAATTTATGCGAAAGTATAATTAATGGTAATATTAAATTAGGTGTTAATAATGTTATTTAGCATTATTATAATGTTTTTTAAAGTAATTTAAGTGATATTATTGTCAAAAAATTAAAGTTCAATGAAATTAATATGAAATAATAATATATTGAATTAGGTATTTTATTTTTTATAAATATATTTTTTAATTTTAATAAAAAATAAGATTAATCTTTATATAATTATGTAAGACCTTGCATTTCATATTTAATTGATTTTGAATAATAATATATTTAATAATAGTTAAATTCAGCTAAAAGCTTTTAAGCTTTATTTGTTTCTATTTTTTCTATTTTATTAATTCTTTCTTATTTAATTTTTTGGATTCCTAAAATAAGTAGTATGAATACTTAAGTAATATAATAATAATAATTTATTTTATTTTTAAATAAAAAATATAAATATATAGTTAAATAGAACTATTTAAATGCTTAATATGATTCCTATTAATGTAATAAAAGAAAATATTAATATTAGAAGATTTGTAAAAAATTTAATTAAATAAATGGATAAAACTAAGTATGAATGATTTTTTTTTTTTATTAATTACTTTTTAATTTATTGCATAAAATATAAACATTTTAATTTATTATTATATATATTTTTACTTTTATAAATAAAAAGTAATAATATTATATTTTTAAAATATAGTTTAAAAAATAAAATATAACTATGTTTTTCAATAAGGCATATATATAAAAAATTATTAATGGATTATATTTTATATTAAAAGAATAAACCAAAATAAAATAATATTATAAATAAATTTTAAAAAAATATTAATAAATTTAAATAAAAAAAAAAAAAAAACTTAATCATTTTTTAAAATATAATATTTGAATTTAGTTAAAAAATAAATAAATATATATATTTAAAAAAAAAAAAATATGTCAGAAAGATACGAATATATTCTTGAAGAAAATACAAATTTAAAAAAAGCTTTAGCATCTTCAAAATCAATAATAGAAAGAACTACAAGTATAAAAATAATAAATGCAAATAAAAATAATTAAAAAAAGATGATTATGAGACATTAAAATAAATCCATGAAGAATATAAAATGTAACATGAAAGATTAAAAAAGAAAATGAATAATTAAACATAAAAAATATGATTTTATCAAATGACAAGAAATAAATCGAGTAATAATTCGATTCTACAATTAAAAACTTAAAAATTGCCATTGAATAAAAGTAAAGGGAAATCGCAGAAATCTAATAAAAACTAATTCCTTCATTTGATTAAGATATGATGAGAATTAAAATAATAAATGAATTAGAAATTCCTCATAGAACTTAATTGGAGGCCAAACAGGAAGAAATAGAAAGATAATAGGAATAAATTTATGAATAAAAAAGATAATTAGATATTCTTTATTCCCGTTTAGAAATGGATAAAGGAGAGTTCGAACGAGAAATAAAGTCAATAAAAGATCGTCATTAAAACGAAGTATAAGAATTGATTAATGAATTGGAAAATTTAAATGATAAAATAAATGATTAGAAAGATAAAGACATTATTAGAAAATAAAAACGAGAATCGGATGAATATAGGTAAAAATTAAATCAAAAAGAATAAGAATGTGAAGAATTAAGAAGGGAAAGAGATAAATGTAGGGAAGATAAGAATGAAAATTTGATAAAGTTTTCGAAATAAATTGAATAGGAAAGAAACGAGAAAAGAATTTATAAAAGCGAAAGTGAAAAACTCGGTATAAGATTAAGGTTTTTAGAAGAAGAATAAAAAAAAAATAGAATAAAAATCGATTCGTTTTAAAGTGAAAATGAAATTAAAAAAAGCGAAAAAGATAACTTTTTGGAAGAAAATAGAAAAAAAGATGATCTTATTCATAATTTATAAAGGAGAATATAAGAATTAGAAGATGATATAGTATAAATTTAGGCTAAAAATATGGACAAAGAATAAAAAATTTATAATGAAGAACATGATAGGTTTGTTGAAGAAAGAAATAAAAATAATTCATTATTAAGAGAAAATGAAGTACTTAAAAATAATGTTAATGATCTATAGGAAGAAAATAAATCTTTTAGGAATAAACTATAGAAAGAATTATCTAATTTAAGATAGGATATTATGATTGTGGCAGATGAAAGAGATAAACTTTTAAGATAAAATTCTATCTTTTAAAAAGAAAATTAAGAATTATAGAAAGAATCTAATTGTAATTATTTTGTTTTTGTATTTATTATGATATCTTATGTTTTTTTTTTTTTTTTTTTTTAAGAATATGAAGAATAACTAAATGACTTAGAAAAGGAATTAGAAAATGCGAAAAAAAATACAGAGAAACTTTATCAAAACTTTAAAATTTAGAAGGAAATTTAGAAAATAGTAAAAAAATAAATATTTATGTTATAATTGAATTATAAATATATATATATATATATATATATATATATATATAAATATATATTTAAATAAAAATAAATAGATTAATATTAAGCATTATTGTATACTAAATAAAATTTAAATTAAACACTTCCGTAATAATAAAATAATTAAAATCAAATTATATTAGAATAATAATTGAAATCTGAAAAAGATAAATGCTAAAAATTAAAAAGAAAACTTAAATAAGCAAATACTAAAATTATAGAACTTCTTTCTTTTAAGTTAGCAGCTTAAGCTGCTTCTACTAAAGGAAATAAAACTTAATAATAAGATGGTAATTTAATTCATTAATAATTGAATTAAACTATACCTCAATAATTAAATCAAGCGATTCCTTAATCATAATATTATGGATAAAATGAAAACATTTATGATAATTTATAGCCTTAATAATTAAATTAATAAACACCTTTATAATAAACATATATTTAAGGCATCTAATAATAATAATATTAAAATCATCCAGAAAAATTAGATTAGAAATAGGATTTAAATTATAGAAACCCAAATGGACCAGGAGGATATTAGAAAATGAATTCTTTAAATTAAAATTATTAAGGAATAAATATGCCATAAAATAATTTTAGAGAAAGTTATTATTAAAATACATTAGGAGGAAGTGTACCATAAAATATAAAAGTAAAAAATTTTCTTAATTATGAAGATGAATAATTAATTTAAGAAATTTAAAGAAATTCTGAATAAATAAAATATAATTATTGAGTTTGATAAAAAATTTAAATTATATTTTTTTTTATAAACTAAATGATATATATATATATATATATTCTTAAAAAATATATAAAAAAAAATAGAAAATAAATTAAATTGATATTTTTTATAAAAAATAAAATAAAATTAATTGATTTATTTTTTAAAAATTACATTTACATATTTTTTTTTTAACACTTCATATAATATTTAAGTTATTTATTTTAATTAATATTCAATTTTTAACAGAAAACTAGGAATAATAGATAATATTTTATCTTCTTTATTAAATAATATTTTATATATTTTTATTAATAAATATTTTAGTTATATCGGTATATTTTTAAAGCATTAAACAGTTATTATTTTAAGGTAATTTAATTAATGTTTTTCTTTTATTTAATAAACTTTCATTAAATTTTTTTTTTTTCTAAAAATTAAATTCATACCTTAATAAGCTTATAAAATTAAAAAATGTATTAATTTATTTATTCCTTTATAATTTAAGATTATTTGATATTAATTTAAATTTTTGATTATTAAGATTACTGCGAAATTTTATTTTGTGTTTATTGTATTTTTTTAACTTTAGTTTTTTTTAAAAAAAGAAAAATTTAAATTATTTTCTAAGATTTATTTTATTCTTTTTATTAATCATTAATATTAAGCAGTTTATTATGTGTAAATATATATTTAGATTATTAGAATAAGTTTTGTTTTCATATTGTGTTTATAAACTTTTTGAATTATAATTAATCTTAATATTATGACAAATTGAAACTTATTGCATATTCTTTTCTGCTAAACCTAATAAAAATTAACAATCTCAAAATATGAAATAACTATAGCAATTAATTTAAAGGCAGTATCTCTTTAGAATATATTTTCACAATCACTAATAAAATTAAATAAATAATCATATAATTTATATCATATTTTTTAAATATTACTAAATTAAGCAATTCTTGTACTTCTTTGATTAAAAAAATAATATTTTTTAAAACATAACAATATAAGTATAAAATGATTATGATAAAATACTACTAGAATTATATTAAATATTATTATTTTAAATACATTAATAAAATTTTATAATTTATTATTTATATGAATGAACTATAATATTGTCTACAACATTTTTATTAAAATTTAATTATTCATACAATAAAAATATAATAATTATTTTTACTTTTAGAATAATTATTTAAACTTTTGAGATTTAATTGTCTTTATAATGTATTAATTTTTTTTTATTATATTATTGTATTTTTTTGTTACTTAAAAAAATTTGATTTATTTATTATAAAATATAGCTAAAACATATTACAAAAACAGAAAAAAAATCATATTATTAATTATAAGGATATAAAAATAATATTTTTTTATATATTTAAATTTATATTTTTATAATACGATATTTCTTCTAGAAATATTTTTAATTTGATATAATACGTCATTTTTTAAAAATTGAATTTACTATTTCTAATTTAAATACATTATATTTTTTTATTTCTTAATTTAAATATTTATTAAAATTAAAATTATATTTATATTAATATAAAAATAAATATTTTCTATTAATTAAAATTATCTATATTTTTATGTTTATAAAAAAGCAATTATAATATTTTTAATATCTTTTTTATACAAATATATTATATATTTTAATATTTTTTTTTTATAAAATGAATCATTTTTTTATAATTAATTAGAAAAAAAAATAAATATATATATATATATATATATATATATATATATATATATTATTATATATATATATAATATATATTTTTT